CGGAGGAGCGCAATGTCCCCCTGGGAGCCCTCATGGCGGTAGCTGGCGTGGGGAATGATGTGTGCCACGGTGCGGACCTCAGCCGTCGGGGTATAGGAGCCCAGCTGGAAGGCCCCTAGCTTTACCTCGTACTCTTCCTTGCGATGCTCCCTACAAGCAGGCGGGGTAAAGGCTGGGACCCAGGAAACCTGTCCTGGTTCCTTGATCCCTGTTGCCTTTCCACATCCAACCCCAGATTCTGATCCCAGGCAAAGGACTTTTCAGGACCCAGACTGTGCCCTAGTTTTATACCGTGAGCTATATGACCTCTGGTCTTCACTCCTGACTGTTCTTTCAGGCTATATTGATACCCCTAGACCCAATCCAAGAACCCCAACCTCTGACTGACCCCTGAACTTTGACCTCCAGCCCACCTTTGGCTTCCCCTACATTGCCCCCAACTCATTTGGTACCTTGGAAAGCAGTGAGCAGCTGACAGCACCCACTGATCAGACACGAGAGAACCGCCACACACGTGGATGCCATCATAGATGATGCTGACCTGCCAGGGCCACTGGCCAGGGGTTGCACTGTTACCACCTGTGATGCGTGCTTGGGAGGCCACACCGCAAAAGGCTGCCCAGGGAGGAAGGGGAAGGAGTCAGGCCCTTCTGGAGCCCTCATATAATGTCCTTAGCCCTGCCACTCCCAATAAAGCCCAGCGGATCTGTTTTGGAGCTTAGGAAGTGAGTTCATAGAAGCCAGCCACCCCTTTGTCCCCATCCCGCTGCTTAACAGGCATGGTCAGTTTTGCCACCTTATCATCCTTGACCCATTTATTGCCTCATTCAGGTCTCATACAGTTCCTTTCTCTTAGGCCTTCCTGCCTTCCATCCAGTCCACCCCTTCCAGGTCTGAAGCCCTTTATGAATGAGAAATCTGGCCAGGTGAGTCCTGCTTAAGTCCTTCCCTGGTTTCATACTGCCCTTAGGATACAGTCCAGATCTTCCATGACCCTGCCATCTGCTCCGGCCATCCATCTGGACACTTCCTGTTATAGACCTGGGGCCACACACTTACTCACTTTTAGATCTTGGCTTATCCAGGTCATTGCCTAGAATACCTTTCCTTATCCCTACTTTGCTGTGCACACTTCGATTTGCCCCTCCTTAGCCTTCCCTGACCTGCTGACTGAGTCAGGCAGTGTCCCAGAGCTCCCAGGGCCTGTGCTTCACATGATTGTTCTGTGCTTCAACCACACCAACCTGCGCACTCCCTAACGGCAGGGATCAGCGCAGAGCCCCATGTGCCCTGTGCCCAGTGCCCAGCATGGGGCTGGGCACAAAGAGGGAGTCATGGATGTGTGTGTTGAACAAAGGAACAGAACAGCTGGGCTCCCATGGTGTGAAGGCCACCCTACCCCCGCTGAAGCTAGCTGGAACAGGAAAACAGGACGCAACTGCCTTCACAAAGTCACCTTCCCAGGAGCAGAGAAAACTGCCCAACCGGCTCCTCCTCCTCTGTTCCTCCTCCTCTCCTCGTAATACTGACAATAGCTGCTATTTAGTGACTTAGAACAATACAAGGCCCTGAAGGGGCTTTCACTTTGTCTAGGTTCTGGACTCCCCATGCAGCCCCAGGAGATAAACATAATCAACTTCATTTTAGAAGGGGATTGGCCAACCACACAGCTAGTAAAGTGGTGAAGCCATGACTGAATACCTTGCCTCGGACAGGGGTGGTGCGCCTTTGAAGAAGGGAGACCCTGGGTTTCTTTCCCTCAAAACACCCCACGGTTGGACTGAGACCTGGGTTTAAATCCCAGCTCTGCCATGTACTGGCTGTGTGCCTTTGGGCAAGTCACTTCTCTGGACCTTGTTTTTTTTTTTTTTTTTGTTTTGTTTCGTTTTTAATCTGTAGAACGAGGGATACAATCCCTGTCTCACGGAGCTATTGGGGGGACTTAAGTAGAACAATTACAGGGGAGGCCCTGGACTGATAGCTCAGTTGGTTAGAGGGTCGTCCTCAATATGCTGAGGCTGTGGGTTAAACCCCTGGTGTGGGCACATACAAGAAGCAACCAGTGAATGCGTAAATAAGTGGAACAAATAAATGTTTCCCTCTCTCTCAAATCAATAAAGTAAAAAATTTTTTAAAGTTATGGGGGAGGGGTGAGACAGTCTGGCAGAGAGACTGACAGGCACGCATTAAACACTCCATGGGAATCTGAATGTGTTCCCTCTTTTTCCCCTCCCCCATTTCCCTTTCCTCAAGCCTCACCTTCGGACCCTGCCCCGTCAGCTCCTGGAAGGCAAGAGAAACAGGGAGGGGTAAGCAGAGAAGACCAAGTTCCCAGACTTCTCAGCACTTGCCACTTCTCTGGAGAACTGCCTCTCCCCCTAGGAGCCAAAGCCGAAGAGCTAGGGAGCCGGGCCTTGTTGAGCCCAGGATAAGGGACCTGCTGCAGGGATGGGTTAAACCATGGCCCCTGTGCACCACCTCTCCCACACCCCCTACCCGCATGGTCTCACTCACCCAACCCGGAAGGGAATAATCCAAGCAAAAGCAGAATGGCCATAGCCTCCAGCTGCCCAGGCCCCAGGCCTGCCCTCTGGGCCATGGCCCAGGATGAGGGCCCCTGGGCAGACACCAGGCACTCAAAGGAAAGGACCGAGGGCTGGCTTCCAAGGCAAGATTCAGGTGTTGGGCCCGGAGGGAAGGGATGTTGGAATCCGTGCTGGGAAGATCGGCGCTGGTGTCCGAGGCTGGCTTTGAAGGCAGGGAGCAGGCTCAAGGGGAGACGACGAATATCCGCAGCCCTCGGTGAGGACACGTCTCCAGCACTGCCCGGCTACACGGAAAACTGCCAGAGTACAGCTCCTCAGAGAAAAGCACCTACCTGCCCGCCCCTCCCTTGGCCCCGCCCTCTCTACTCATCTCTGCCAGCTTCTTTCTCCACCAAAGTCTTGGAATCCTCCCAGACCCCGAGGGGTGCGCGCGCGCGCGCGCGCAGGCATGCCGGGGGTGGGGGGGTCAGGGGTGGTGGTGGCGGTGATCAAACAAAGAGCAGCCCCAGGCCAGGCTGGAAATTGTAATGTCCGATGGCCTAGCGCCCTGGAGGGCCACCCGGCTGCTGTTGGCCCTAGGTCTTTCAGGTCTCCCACACCAGTTATGCCTCCCAGGGGTTGGCTCAGCCACAGACGCTCCTCCCCCCTCCCTTCTTAGGCCCCGTGTCTGAGCCTAGGACACCTGGGTCTGCCCCAAGCTAGGGCCACTTCAGGCACTTCTGTAGATCCTGCAGCTTCATCTGTGTATGATGAGCTGTGGTGAGCGTGTCTGGCAGTGCCAATCATCTTACAAATATTTACTGAGTGCCTACTCTGTTCCAGGCACAAGAGACAAAACAGACAGCATCCCTGCCTTCCCTGAGCTCACCCTGAAGTAGGGATGACACCTTGACTCAAATAACCACACAAGCAATTATAGCACAATTTCAAATTAGGAACTGTGATACAGGAAGGTTAATGGAGGTTCTGGGAACCATTTACAGGAGCTTGACATAGGCCAGCATCAAGAAGGGCTCCTCAAAGAAGTGCCTTCAGAACTGAGACCTACAGATATTATGAAAAGGTGTTAAGATGAAGGTGGGGGAAGAGTGGTTCAAATGAAGCATTTTAGGTGGAGGGCGCAGGTGGCACAAGTTCAGGAAAAGAAGACCCAGAGTGATTTATGTCAGGGGTTGGGTGCTTCCTCTGTGAGCCTATGAGTCTGTGTGGGCAGTTGCAAATGTGTATTGGCTTCAAGGTTCAGGAAAACAGAGCCCTACTTCCTCACCTACCTTCCATAGATTAGGTGTCTGGACCTCTAAGCCAAGACTTAGAGGCTGGAGTGGGTGAGAGGATGAAGGCTGAATCTGAAGGGGTCTAAGCTGGGAAGGAGGGGCAAGACACTGGGCACTGTGAGTGTGTTCGGGTAAAAGGTGGGGTATATTAAATGTTTGTGGGGGACGGCATGTGGGTTACTCACTGGGTACGGGGAGGAAATAGGGATGTATGTCCCTGTGGAGATTCAGGGGAATATTCTATTTGGGATCCGGCAGCTAAAGATAAGCCTAGGCCTTTAAGGACCTCTGCCTGTCTCCTCTGTCCCCCAGGGAGAACTTCCAGCTGCCCTTAAAGGTCTCCGTCCCTATCCTCTGCCTATTCAACCCAGAGATTTGACTCCAGCCGCAGAGGTGGCCCCTCTACCACCTTCCTCAGCTCGCTTCCACCCCAGGCACCTCCCCTCCATAGGTCCCCATTTACTTTTTTTTGTGCTCAAACATCACTTCTATGACCCTTTCCTGACCCCCAGCCAGAGTTGTCCATGTAGTTCCCCACTACATAGGGAGCACTTCATGGGCTTACCCCTCAGACCCTAGGTGTGCCATGACTTAGTAGTTAGCAGGGAACGTGCTCGAATTCATGCCGGGAGGTGAACCAAGAAGTGGTGAGGGGACTCAAACCCTAGGAGCGCTGGGCAGGATGTGAAAGCTGTGGACGCTTGAAGGGTACAAAATGTCATGTATGTACGGGGGACACTGGAGGTGTATACTTTGGGACATCATTCATCGGGGTGCGTAGGTGGGGAAGTGGCTCCCTGTGAGTATAGGAGATTGCAGACAGATCCTGGATCCTTGGGGTCCTGGACCCTTCTATGACCCTCATCCTCAGTCCTTACTCTGGGGAGAGGGGTAGCAGGGTCAAAGCTAGGGCTGAGGTGGCCAGCAGGTGCTAGGGATAATTCCCACTGGGGATGTGACACACACCCAGCTGGCCACCCAACCTCCCCCACCCTTGGGCAGGAATGAGGGACAGCTGCCACGTTATCAGGGACACATTTCCTGGGAGCCCAAGGCCTGACTCACAGAGGCCCAGGAGGGAGGGGCTCTACCCCTCGTGCTTCCCTCTAGCCCCCAAGCCTACCCTCAGCAATTCCATAAGGCCATGTGTCTTTGTTTACACTTTATTGTCCACTCCCGCTGCCCCCAAGGATTCCAGGGCACAAAATATCCAGGCACTGAAGGCCAATTATCTGAAGCCATTGCAGTCTAGGTGGGTGGGGGAGCTCTGGAGGTTCTGGCGAAGGGATTGAAAGCCGGTTAAGTCACATTCCAACCCCACTGGAAGGGAAATGGAAGGCTGGAGGGGGTAGGGAAGGAGAAGGAGAGGTGGTCCAGGACTCAGACCCCTCAGCCCTGGATTAAGGGGGTCAGGAGCAGCAGGAACAGAGCAATAGGAGGGAAGCCTGAGGCCCCAGCCATGTCCAGGGGACAGGGATTGCTGCCTTCAGGGGGCCAGTAGGGGGAGCCACTGGGGGGCAGGAAATGGGCCTCTCCCACTGTCTGGGAGATCCAGGCCTCTTCAGGGCCAATGGAGGCAAACAGCTCCTGGCTCCCTCTAACAGCCATGCCCACGAGAACCCAGGAGCCTCCCTCACTCTGGCACAGGAGCGGAGGTGCTGAGGTCACCTGCAGAGTAAAAGCCAAGGCCAAAAGGGTCTCTTACCTTTCCTCCTGGTCCCCTGCACCTTATTCTAGGGCCCAGTTACAAAGTACTGCCTGTCTCCATCCTTAGGCATCCAGGCCCCTGGTTGCTCTCCAAGGTCCAACCAGGAAGCACTGCCTCTTCCCGTTTGGGGCCCAGCACCCAAGAATTTTAACCCTGTTTTCTCTCCAGGGCCCAGCTGCCCAGTACTGCCTTTCCCCTCCCTGGATCAGGATGCCCAGGCCCCTGTACCTCACACCTGTCTTCCTGCCCCTCTGCATACAGGACACAGAGAGTCCCAGGGGGCAGAATACCCTGATAGAGGCAGTGACAGAGTCGTGGTGTCAAGATGGAGACAGCAGCAGCCACAGGGACTAGAGAGAGGAAAGTGGGTTGTCCCAGGGATTCTGGCCTCCAATCACTTCTCACCCCCAGGACCCAGGGCTCTCACCTCGGTCCTGAGGGTCCTTCCAGCCCAACACCCAGCAGCTGCCCCCCAGGGGGATTCCCCCTGGGTGAAGGCAGATGGACAAGGCTGAAGGGGAGGGCTCCACCCGCGAGCTCAGCTCTAGGAGGGCCAGGGGGGGCCGAAGTCCCAGGTGCCGGGGTAGGCGGATGCTGATGACCAACCGGGATACCTGGTGGCCCTGTGGGAGGGGGCTGGCCCCTGTTCGGCCCAGGTACACTTCAATATAAGGCACTGTTGTGGAGCCTGGCCTGTTGGAAACAAGGCCCTATGTTACTTCCTGCCCACCCTCCACCCTCATCCCCTTGCTGGTAAGGGCCTTCCCTTTGGAGAGTCATTCCACTAACTCCTTTATCATTGCTCCTTCCTAATCTCTCTTCTATTTCAAAACACTTCACAGAAAGTTTTCCTGTGCTCTAAGAGCCCTTAAGGGAGAATATCCCACTATTTCAAGAGTTCTTTGGCCTGTCTCCCGATTTTCCCCTCCAGCCCAGGAGATGGGTGAGACCCACCTGAGGACACAGTGAGTGGCAGTCAAGATCCAGCCTGGGGCCACGAGGATCCCAGTGCAGACGTGATCACCAGCCACATGCACCTCTGCCAGCCACGGCCACAGGAGCCCCACTGGAGCGGGCTCTGGCCGCAGGCCACAGGCTAGGGAGAGGAGGTGACCACCTCAGTGGAGGTCTCCCAGCTGACCCCTGATGCCCCTGCCATGGATTTAAGCACCCCCAAGAACTAAACCCCAAAGGCCTGCTCCTCACCACCACGTTCTGTGTGGGGAGGACAAGTTTGTGTCTCAGTCTCCTCCCCCTCAGGGCCCCAGTCCCAGGTCAGCTGGTCCTCTAGGTAGGCTCCCCGAGTCACATGGCTGATCCATGGGCCATGGGTCTGAAGAGGGTAGAAGGCTCTGGGACGTAGGCAGCCACTGGAGAAGACTCTGATTCCAGCCAGGAACCAGGTCCCCTCCTCCCGGCACAAAAGGCTCCAACTGGAGTAGTTCTGCAGCAAGAGAGTGTGTGTTATCAACCACTGCGTTTGTGTGTGTGTGTGTGTGTGTGTGTGTGTGTGTATAAGTTGATGAAAGGATATCAAAGATCCTGGGCCTTTCCCAGACTCCACATTCCTCCTTTCTCGGACATAAATCCCACTTCTGCAAGTCAAGCTCCATTACTAGCCTGTATAAGGATTCCCATTAAACTCAGGAGAGCGAGGAAGCCCGAAAGAGCCCAAAGCTTGCCTCAGGACCCTCCCAAAAGTCCCCCAGAGCCAGGCTCCGCCCCCAGCGTGCTCGGTCTCTCCTGTTCCGCCCCCAACTTCCTAGGCCTCTTTCCTAGGCCTCTTTCCGAGTCCTAATCCGACCCGCAGGCTCCGCCACCGCCGCTAACCCAGCAGCTGCCCGATTCCTCCTCCTCCTGGTAGGCAGGGCAAAGCGCTTGCGGTGGGTCTCCCGGCAGCGGTACTGTCGCCCCCTGGCGGCCGTACAAGCAGTGACACCACCAGCTGCTCAACAGCTCCGCCTCAAGTAGCGTGTTAGGGCCGGGCGCAGGTTCTGGGAGAGAAAAGGGAGGGGAGTCCGCGCGCAGCAAGGTTGGGCCTCACGCCTCCCCGCCCTTGCCGGGTGCCTGGGCCCCTGCTCACCGCCACGGCCCCAGCGGGCCAGGCGGCAGCGGCTTCCGGGCAGGAAATAGTGTTCTGGGTGAGGTAGGCACACTGGCCGCTGGGCCACGCTCAGGTTCACGGGCGCGCGCAGCTGCAGCAGCACCAGGTCCGAGGCGTGGTCCCAGGAAGCGTTCTCGTGTGGCACGAAGCGAGTCACCTGCTCTGCGCGCAGGCGCGAGGGGAGCAGCACGCGCCAGTTGTCCAGGTCGCGGGGCTGGCCGTCTGAGCTGCTGCGGCTGGGGGATGAGGAAACTGGGAACGTGGGAACACACTGGCCTGGAAACCGCTCACCCCTGACTTAGGCTCCATATACCCAGGCTAGGATTCTGTTTCCCCGGCCTGAGAACTGTGCACTGAATTCTGGCTCCAACTTCTACTACCTCTCTACTCGCTCGACATAGACCAGGACCCTGCTTTGCGATTTGGGTCCTGCGTCTCCCAAGGAGACCCCTCCCCCATCTCACCCCCACTCCAGACTGAGGGGTACCCCCCCCCCCCGCCCCAGGGCTGGGACCAAGTAAGTACTGTCTCAGGCCACTGGAGGAGGGGCATGAATCTGTCTGCTATACGGGGTTTTACTCACTCCAGAAAGCAGCTGGCAGGCGCCAAGACCCAGCTTTCAGACACCAACGCCCCATGGCAGGGTCTGGATCCTGGCACTATCACTTGAGCCTCCCAAGGCCAGGCCCCTGGCCTCTGGGCCTTCCCGCACTCTGAGGGGTGAGAGGCCTGGGTCAGAGGGCCTCTTGAACCTGCAGCACTTTCCACCCCAACTTGAATATCCCATGTTTAGCAGTTATCCAGGGGTCCTACCCCCTCACCTGGCAGGGCGATAGTGCAATTCTCATCCATGGGCTCCCAGGGGCCTGATTGGGGGCCCTGGGACTGGGTGGGAAAGGCAGGTCCGGGCTCTGAGCCCATCACCTGTTCCCGGATCCATGCCTCGTAGGGAGCTACAGCAGTGAAGACTCCAGGGCGGTTCCTTCGTCCACAGCCAAAGCCAAAGCTGGTGATTCCTGCCTGGAACCATCGTCCACGTTCCTCACAGACCAGGGGCCCCCCAGAGTCTCCCTGATGAGAGATGACTCAGTGTCAACAGATCAGCCCAGGGACCCACCAGCTTATACTGGGCCATGTTCCAAAGTTACTACACCTCTTCTTGTTGGCCCCCCATACAGACACCTTCTCCTCGGAACCTGCCTTGGCTGTGTCAGCTTCTGTATTCCCTACAACTCTAGACAGAAGAATGACATGTAAAGCAGAAAGGCTGGTGATGAGCAGCCAAGCTAAGATCACCAAACTGATGCATTGAAAGCCATGTGAGAAGGCTGAAGGTCTCACAGCCAAATGATTCCCGTTCAATGACTAGTTCAAATAAATGCGGTCTTGGATTTCTAAGTTCACCCAATTGTTAAAAGTAAATCAGAGATGCCAGCATTTAGGAAGCTGTTAGAAATAGGAAATCTAAAAGCAGCAAGAAGAGACAGGAGGAAGAACCACAGTGAACAGACACTAAAACTTTGAGGCATTGTCCCTAAGACATCTCTGTAGTCCAGATCAGGTATTTCTACGACCTGAACAGGGTCACAAAGAAGGCTCAGAATCATCTAGAATATGCTGTCTAATATGGTAGACACTAAATAAAATTAAAAATTTAACTCCTCAGTTATACAAGCCACATTTCAAATGTTTTTCAAATGTTCAGTAGACAATGTGGCTAGTGACTACTATCCTGGACAGTGCAGATACAGAACATTTCCATCACTGTAGGAAGTTCTGTTGGACACTGCTGGTCTAGAGGAATTTGAATTGCTCATAATCCTGTTCAAGACGGCAGAGGATTATGTCCATAAGTCCTGGAATCTCATAATTGGGAGGGACCCTGAAGACCATCTAGCTTGAATCTCCATTACCACTATGCATCTGAGTACTGGAAAAACGTGTGTCATTTGAGGAAGGTTTGTAGGAGAAATGATTAAAATATACTGTATTTTGGCCTTTAGCAGGTTATCTGGAAAATTCCATTCTGTGAAGGATTAATTCATTTTTAAAGATAACTATTTATTGAGTATCTACTAGCAGGTGCTATGCTGTCCTTCTTCTACACTCTCATCTCAGGAACGGCCCGATTAGGCACCCAGTGAGAGCTGGGAAGTGGGATTATGATAATATTAATAGCTAATGCTTATTTTGCTCTTATTAAGGCCCACACACTGTTCTAAGTATTCTTACATATACAAATTCATTTAATCATCATTACCACCCTATGATCTCCATCTTTCAGATGAGAAAGTCTGGGCATAAGGTGATTAAATATCTTGGCCGAGGTCACACAGCTAATAAGTGGTGGTGCCAAGCTTCAAACCAGGCAGACTCACTCTAGAGTCTGGCACCTAACCACTGCACTATACTGCCACAAATAACAGTTGTTGAGCCTCAGGTTCTATCCATTTATAATTTTCACATCAACCCCATCCATTGGCAATCTTATCCTCTTTTGCAGATAAGACTCAGAGATATGAAAGAGATGGGATTTGTCTGTTTCTCACACTGCTTCCCATTGGTTACTGCTCTGCCTGGTCTTGTCAGGCAGGTGCAGGGACCTCCCCTCACCTGGCAGGTGTCCCTGCGCCCCTCTGGGTAGCCAGCACACAGCATCCCTGGCAATAGCTGAAAAGTGAGGTTGAAGGGGCCCGGCCGGCTGTAGAGACATTGACAGGCAGCTTCTCCCAGCAGCCTTAGCTCCACTTCTTGCAGCACCCAGGGGAGAGGCAGAGGGTCTGCGAACAGGACCAGAGAGCTAATGCTGTGAGGCAGGCATGGAGTCCCCTGTTCCCGAGAGCTCAGCTTTGGCCTCTCCAGCTGCCTCCTGGACATCTCTATCTAGATGCCTCATGGCACTTCAGTCCACCACATCCAAATCCAGTCATCTTCTCTTCCTGCTCTTCTCTGTCCTTCTTCCTACATCCTCACCTCAAGAATGTCCCCATCAAGTACCCAGTGAGAGCTGCCATGTATGGGTTTGTACTGTACAAAGGTCCCCAGCGAACAAAGGATTCACATGGGGGCTAAAGCCACTAAGCTCTGCTTCCTGACATAGGCTGTGTTAGTCCTGAGAGGGTACCCTTTTCAACAAAGATGCCATACACACTTCATGCGGTCTTGTACCAAGTTGCAAAGTATGGAATCTGGTGTCAGTCCTGATCCATGTCTCAATCTTCCCTCCCCAATAAGTTCCCAAGTCCAGAAAACCTCTCATTTGTGACCTCCTGGCATATTTACTGCAACTGTCCTAGTTCAGGAGGCATAACCTTGGACCTTGATGATTGGCCCAGCCTCCTCACTGATCTGTTGTTTCCCAACCCACCCTTCACTTTTTGATGCCAGAGAAATGTTTTTAAAGCTCTGCTCTGACCTTACCAAGGAATATCAAATGGATCCCACTGTCTAAACCTGAGGCCTCAATCCTTTCCTGAGGTGAACCTGCTCTTAATGGAGACAAAGTCTCAGGATCCAGAAAGGGTAAGGGCGAGTGTGGACAGAGCTCCTTCCCTCCCCACACAGAATCCTAGGAGGTCAGGGGATGGCTGAGGCTCAGCTTGAGGGAAGTCGACCAGGGAAGTTCAGGAATTGTCCTGGGGATCCCTGCGGCTGGTGGGGTACTCTGGCCCTCAGTCTGACCTTAAGGCCTTTATGGTTCAGCCCCAGAAGCTTTTGCAGCCTCTGCCCCCTCCACTTCAGCCTGGCAGCCTGACTATTCTCTGCCTTCTATGCCTCACCTGGGTCTCCAGGATGGCCTCCATCTCCCCCCACCTTCCTGTAATGCCAGCTCACGTCCTGACTTCACACAACCTCACCAGAAGTCTCCTGCTGTGGGTGTCCATTGTCAGGATGGCCTGTCCGCATCCACACAGACTTCCTAGGTGCTCAGACTGACCCTTCCTTATTACATCCTGCCCTGATGGGGCCCCTGCAAGCCGAGGCTGTGGCATCTCTCCTCCAAATATCCTTTCTAAAGCTCTGGGCATTGCAAGGGCCTGACCACAGATGTGGAATTATTGTGAGGTCCTTGCTAACATGAAAAGATAACACTGGATAATGGGGATGATGGAGAATGGAAAAGTTATCTATTTCTCCCCATACCTTCTAACATAAGTGTGTGCTTATTTAGCTAAGTAAGTAGTATTGTGTACCCACTAGAATGCAAACTCTGAGAAGGCAGAAATTTTTGCTTGTTATGTTCATTGGTGTATCACCAATGCCTAACACAGTGACTGGCACAAGAAGGTGCTCAAAAAATATCTGTTGAATAAATGAAAGCTGGACTAAATGAATGAGAGCGATGAAAGTGAGTAGGGAGAAGACAGAAGGTGGGGGAGTAGAGAGATGAGTCGGGGGAGGATAGGATGGGAAGAAGGGAGACAGGAGGAAGGGGGATGGGAGAGAAGGAGGGCAGAAAATGATGTTTGCTGAAAACCTGCTATGCATCAGGGGCTGTGCTTTAGTGCTCAGATCACCTAGGCAGGGGTGACCAACACGTGGCCCACAGGCCGAATGGGGCCCAGGATGGTTATGACTGCAGCTCAACACAAAATCATAAATTTACTTGGAACCTTTTTTTTTTTTTTTTGTTCATGACGTTTCATTAGTGTTTGTGTATTTAATGTGTGGCCCAAGACAATTCTTCTTCTAGTGTGGCCCATGGGTTGGACACCCCTGAAAAATATCTAAAATGTATTAATTACTGCTATGCTAGTCATTCTGTTATAAGCTTTATGGATTTTCCCATTTAATCCACCCAGCGACCCAGAGGAATGAGCCTTATTTTCCTCAGTTTTCAGAGGAAGGAATGGACTGGGTGTAGTACTTTGTCTGAAGTAGCAGAGCTGGGATGGGAACTTTGGTCTGATCCTAAAGCCAGGAAAGACAAAACTGGAAGGAGTGGTGAGGAGGGAATGGGGGTTATGAATCGGAGGTCTTAGCTTGAGACCCCTTGGGCGGGATGGCGTTTGGAGCTGGGTAAGGCACTTAGTCTGGGCCCAGCAAACCTCGCCCCAGCCCCCGCCCCGGGGCCCCTCCGCCCGAGGGCCCGCCCCTGGACCCGCCCACCTAGGGGCTCACCTTTTTTTAACCCGCCCCGGAGATCCCGCCCAGGCGACCGTTCTGTAGGCTGTACCTCTCCGATAACCAATCCCCCACAGCACCCATCTCGCTCACCCGCCTCCTGTACGTCCCCCCAGCCAGTGGCCCAGCAGGTCGTTCCGTGAGCGAAGTGGTGTGAGGCGCGGGGCAGGCAGACAGGCCGTACCGCGGGGCCCAGCCTGGCGGGCGAAGCCAGGCGCAGGAGGGCCAAGTCGGCTCCCAGTTCCACGCTGCTGTAGTTGTCCGGCACCAGGATGGCCGCCACTGCGCGTACGTGCGCGGCGTCCAGGGGCCCGTCCTGGGAGTGCACGCCCAGCAGTACCGAAAACTCGGCCGCGGGCTCCAAGGTCCCGTTGCTTTGCCAAGGCCGAGGCGGGAGAGGGTTAGATTGACCCTAACGTGGGGCAGATTCTCGTGGGGGTGGGGGCTCAGAATTTGGAACGAGATGGGACGGTGAGGAACCCAGGAGGGGCGGAGTCGAGTTCACTTTGGGGGCTGGGGCGACTGAAGTTCAGGTAGAGTGGAGGCAGTTGATTGGGGGTATGGGAACGACGGAATTCAGACTTGGATATTTAGCTCCATTAACACTCCCAGAACCAGGATATTCCGCAGAGCATCTGGCCTCCGGGTAGGGCAGGGAGGCAGGGCAGCCGGGGTCAGCTAGTCTCCAAATCAGCTGAGTGCACGGGGTCAAAGTTGGGCATGGGTGAATACTCACTTTACGAAACAGTGGGCAGCTGAGAGGACCCAAGAAGGGGCGATGAGTGAGCCCCCGCAGATGTGGCCCCCATTCTGGTGCAGGCTCACCTGCCATGGCCAGCTGCCCGGCTGTGCGTCTGAGCCCCCCACGATTCTGGTAGAGGACTCAGGGCGACCACAGTCTGCAGTGGGGTACCGTGGAAGTCATATTCCATCCCTGTCCCTCACCGCAGAGGCACAGATAACTCAGGATAAAGCCCCATCCCTACCCCATTCAGTTTGTCCTCCCCTCCCACTCTCCCCGACCCCAAACAAAGAGCAAAGTATATCTAGGCACTTCTAAGTTTCTGGTCATTTCCATCTCTCTCACTGCCTAAGCCAGCCTTAACCTCCTTTTAGATCTGAGCCCACTCCCTGCTCCCATTCACCTCTTACCCAGATCTTCAGGTTCTTGAGTAGGACTGAGAGCTGGGAGTCAGAGGGAAGAGAGAGGAAGATATTGAAGACTTCCAGCCCCTGACACTGCCCAGCCCTCATCTTCCTTCTCCATCTTCCACCCCCCATCTTCCTTTTCCCTGCCCTCTCAGCAACAGCCCCCCCACACCCGCCGCTGCCGCCCCAACACCCATGCTACCCCTTCTATCTGCTTTGCCTTTGCACTTGACTTTCCCCAGTCCAGCTGCCTTACCTGAGTCCTGGAAGGCTCCTGGGATGGGGCTGATGACTGGAAAGAGGGAGGCAGGAGGAGGCTGGAGACCTATTCTTATAAAACCTGCCCTCCTTGACTGCCTCCCTCCCGGGCTTTATAACTACTCCTCCCCCGCTGCAACCAGGCCTCCTTTCTCCCTCCTGACACCTCACTCCCTCTTTCTTCCGATGGTCCCCCCTCCCCTTCTTCTGACACCCAGCTCCCTGAACAGAGCTCAAGAGTCCTGCTTTCTAGCTCAGATGGTAGGACCCAGGCCCCTTGCAGCCATCTTCTGTCTCCTGAGGTTACCGAGGATCACAAGAGGGAGAAGCAGGTGCTGGAACATGGCACATTTGAGTCAGCTGGAGGAACAGAGATGAGTGAAGGTCTGCTCCTTGCCACGGCTCTGTCACTGTCTGGGCAGTGGGTGACTCCTGATGATCCCAGGAGCAGCCCCACCCTCCCTGGCTAGAGCCCATCTCTGGGAATCTGAGAAGATCTGGGGTTGGAAGGGGGAAGTAGGGAGTCTGAAGGCCCAACCCAGAGCCCTGTCCCATGTCACATCTCTGGAGGCCAAGGGTGGGGGTGGGAGGCAGATGCCCTAGTTCCAGGATACCTGTTGGGTGGGGCAGGGCAGAGAGGATAGCCAGGGGCTGGGAGGCCAATGTCAGTGAGGCAGGGCTATAGGTAAGCAGTAGCTCTTGGACAGGGAAGGTGGCCCCTCATTGGCTTGCCTCACCTGAGACCGCACCTCTCTTTGGGGTGCGGCTACCCCAGTGGCTTTGGCTTCTCACACAGCTCTGGTTACTGAAGTTGCGGCCAGGTCAGGGAATGGAGCCCTAGGGAATACAATCCCATCCCAACAAAAGGATCACAGATTCCGGCAGGTTGGGCAAGGTACAAGATTCTGGGAGGGGGCTGGGCAAGCTGGCAAAACCGGAAAAAGATTCCATCCTTCTCTGTGTTAGAATGAATACTCTCAGGGGTTCTGTCATTTACTCCTTGTGTGACCTTGGGAAAGTCACTCAGCCCTTCAGTGTATAACAGTACAAGCCCACTTAAGAAACATGACATCTCAAAGAGGAATTGAGGAGAGTTTAATGAAGGAGCTATTTACAGCAGGGTTAAGGAAACCAGCAAGGGATGGAGAAGCACCCTGGGGCTAGCAATAATGGAGATCCCTGCCTGAAGAGGCAAGAGAGGGTGAAGTTACTGAGGCCAAGAGAGAGAGCTGTGGCTGTAGACAAGGGTCAGCCAACAGGAGTGCCTTCAGTGGAATGCAACCTCTATCAACCTGTGGCCCAGCAGGGAGGGAGCTGGGAAATAAAAATCCCCATCTCAATCTTCTCCTACCCTCTGATCACTGGCCAGCTCCTTTGGTGTCTGGAATCTACCAGAAGCAAGGGAGCCCATCATGTGGCCTACAAATGCCACTCTCTGGGGGAACAGATCAGGAAGCAGAAGGGTGGAGAATGAAAATGGAGGGTGAGGAATAGAGTGAAGAAATGAAATGAGTCACTGTGGTCAAGCTGCTCAATTATTAACTTCAAGTGGGTCGAAGCACAAGAAAAAGATAATTTTTGTTTTGACTGACTTTGGGAACTTAAGCTCTTGAACTTTCCAGTCTTGCATCAATACCTGGATGCACATCAGTGTGTTGTGTGTTAATCCCTGGACATACACTAAGCCTTCGGTTAACCATCTGAATGGTCTCAAAAAGAAAATATTCCATTGTCTAGACCACTGGACATCTGATGAGTACTGCCTTGGACCAATTCAAGGCTAAGAATGCAGAACTGACTCTTCGTAAAAATGTGTTTTTTCCAATAAAACCCTAAGACTCTTCTTTCTCCTTTGGAACACTCTGGGTATTGCCTTAGTAGTATTTCTGGTTTGCAAACCCTCAGACCCTTGAATAAATCTCTGCCATTTCTTTCTAGCAAAGCCTCCTGACTCTTCTTGAGTATGTTTGACAAAGGGCAAACAAAGAATATCCACACATATATCTACTTCCTTACCAATAATATAAAATAATCATATTCTACTAGTCCAATTTCCCTAGAAAACAGAGGCTGAGGCAAAGCCTACATGCCCTAGGGAATACTTTATTCCTTAGGCAAAATATGCATGTGCTTTATTGGGAGATAACATCCCAGGGAAGCAAGAGAGGAAATGAGAAGTCACATGGGAGGGAAAAAATGTCAATCCAGGGACCCAACAATTGACTGGATTCGATCGATTATCTTGCTAGCCTTAGCTAGTACGTGGCACAGAATGAAGGTAAACTTGGTGGTAACAACTTCAGACTTGTTAACATAATCTTGGAGCTTCTAAGTCCCCTCAGGCACTCATTTGCTGGTGTTTGTCCCTCCAAGGATAAAGAATCAGTAATTTACCCAAGAAACAGAAAAATTAGACAACCGGCATTGTTCAAAGGTAGGAAAGACGAAGTGTGTAGGGTATCTCCCAAGAGGAAAGTGCTCTCCCTTCCTCCTCCAAGATTCATTGCTTTGGCAAGCCACTGTGCTATTTAATGGAGCAAGTCCTATTCCTCAGGTCTGTTAGGGTGGGGAAAGAGTTAAGAATTATTGTCTTAGAGCAGCAGTTCTCAAATATGGTCTGAGAACTTCCGGAGGGGTTCCCAAGGCTCTTTGAAGGGGTGCCCAAAGCCAAAACTATTTCCATGATGTCAAGTGTGCAACGTAGGTTTTCAAAGGCTACTTTATACATAATATCCCAAAAGGCTGGGTGCAGAAGCAGATACGAGAAACATACACAGGTTTTCATGAACATATAATGTTTATTATTTTTAAATGAATAGATAAATATTTCACATATTTTTCAGTTATAACTTCAAATGCAGTAAATATTGATAGATACAATCCACATAAGCAAAGCTCTTTGTATTCCTCAATAATTTTTAAGAGTGTAAGAAGGACCCTGGCGTGTGTGGTTCAGTTGGCTGGGCATCATCCCACAAACCAAAAGGTTGCCGGTTCATTCACTGGTCAGGGTGCATAATTAGCTCACAGGTTCATCCCTGGTCGGGGTGTGTATGGAAGGCAACCCATCAATATTTCTCTTTTGCATCAATGTTTCTGAGAGAGAGAGAGAGAGAGAGAGAGAGAGAGAGAGAGAGAGAGAGAGAGAAAGGAGGTCCTGAGACTGAAATGTTTGAGAATTACTGAGTTGCAGCAAGCAGTTGATAAGCGAGGGCCTTCATGGCATGCATGTTTTGCCTTAGCAACACTACCCCTTTCTGCCTTTTCTACCTGTGAACAATGCCAGTTTGAAAAGCTGCCTGGGTGATTCTGATAGTTCCTCCATCCCAAGAAACCCTTGTTTGAGAATCACTGCTTTAAGCTTCCTAAGGCCAACACAAAGAAAAAAACCCAAGTAAGAGTCTCTCTCTTCCAGAGGAACACATGGAGAGGTCACTTTGGTGTAATGAAATCTTCTGCAACATATAATATGGCAAAAGCAGCAAAGAGTTTCATAAGGTTAATTTTTATAGAGCTGCTTAATGTCAGCCAGTAACACCACAATCAAACCGCAGTCGGTAAAATCATTATATGGGGGATGCCTCTGGGTAAGAGAGGCAATACAGGGATACACAGTTCTCTGCTAGTCTGGTTAGTGGAAGGCGAAATGTATTAGTTTTCTATTGCTGACACAACAAATTATCACACACTTAGTGGCTTAAAACAACACAAATTTATTATCTTACAATTCTGAGAGAAGTCTGACACTGGTCTTGCTGGGCTAAAATGATGATATCACTGGGCTGTGTTCCTTTCTGGAGGCTCTAAGGAGAATTCATTGCCTTGCCTTTTCCAGCTCCCAGAGGCTGCTCTTATGCCTTGGCTGTGGCTTCTTTCCTCCACCTTCAGAGGCAGCAACATTGCATCTCTCCAGTCCCTCTTCTGTCTTCACATCCTCCTCTTTGACCAAAATCAGGAAAGGCTCTCTCCCAATGGTTACTCTACAGGGTGTTTTGCAAATTGGTCTCCATACATGGAGTGCAAGGGGAGACTGAAGAAAGAGGCAGACCACTCCAGATTGGTAGCTGGCAAGTTTAACAAGCCAGGGAACTTACATGCAAGGCTTGTCTTGGGTAAATGAAAAGATTAGCTATCTGCTCCACCCACCAAAATCTCAAAAGTTTACATAGAGGGCTGCACTGTGTTCAGTCACGTATACCATCCAGATGGTCTCAACAACACATTGCTCTCTCAAAGTTTTGTCCTTTAAAATGACTCTCACTGTAGGACCAGTGGGCAGAACATACATTCCAAGGATAGGAGAGGGGATGAGGAGCCTCTGATTGCTGGGGTCCAGCTCTAAGGTCAGCTGGTGGCCATGCCCTCTCAACAACCTCCTCCAACACATGGTCTTTCCAGCAGGGCAGCTGGATTTCTTACCGGTGGCTCAGAATTCCCGAGAGCTCCAAAGCAGAAGCCGCCATGTCCTCTGAAAGCTTAGGCCCAGAACTGGCACAGCATCGTTTCTGTGGCATTCTATTGGCTACAGTGAGTCACAGCCCAGCCCAGAACCAATGAAGGAAGGAACCACTACAGAGGCCATGAACACTAATACCAGGATGCATGGTTCACTGCGGGTCATCTTCGGAGATGAGTTACAATAGACTTTAACAGGTACTTCACAAAAAGAGAATGCCCAATTGCCGATGTGCACGTGAAAAATGATGCAACATCACCTGAGAGAAACAGAAACTTAAATCACCAAATGAGAACACTGCACACCCACCAGAATAGCTAAAATTCAGAAGGCTGACAATCCACATGTTGGTGAGGATGTGGAACAACTGAAATTCTCATACATTGTTGCGGGCTTGGGAAGGGTGGGTAGAAAATTGTTTGGCAGTATTGACTAAAGCTAAACATATACCTACATTATGATCCAGTAATCATACTTCTATGATTAGATGCCCGGGAAATGAGTACACCAAAAGACATAAGCATAGCATAGTGTCCATAGCAGGTTTACTCACAAGAGCCTAAACCTCTTTATGGCATAAATGTCCAGGATATTTGACAAATAAATTATGGTATATTCCTACAATGGAATAATATGCGGCAACAAAAAAATGAATTACCAGTACTTGCCACAACATGGATGAATCTCACAGAAATTATGTTCAGTGAATACATATCATACTATATGACTCCAATTATATGTAAGTTAAGGACAAACAAAACTAGTTAATGGTGATAAATTCAGAAAAATGGTTACCTTTGGAGGAAGTATTGCCTGGAAAGAGCACAAAGGAACTTGCTGTGCACAGAAAAGTTCTGTATCTTGATTGAGATGGTGGCTACTCGGGTG